CCCATTATCTTCTGTTTGTCCGTGTAATAGTGGAAACAGGCCACTATTGTACGTGGTTTTCCTGTCCTGCAGGAGGAGGTTTGGGTCCGCCGCTTCTATGAGCTCTGTCAATCACCACCGGGGAACGAAAGCTATCTTCCCCCAGGACCTCGCGGAGAAACGCCGGGAGGAAGGTGAGCACATTGCCGCTCTCCGCGCCCTCGGTTATCCCAACGAATCTCAGGTTGCGCCTCCGGCTCCTGTTCTCGAGATCGATGCACTTTTCCTGGAGACTTTCGCATTTCTTGGTCAAGACCTCCTGATTTTTCTCCAGTGCTGTAACTGTCCAGCGTATCGCTCAGCGTTTGGCCCATTTCTTCAGCCTGTTGCTGCTGGTCTGCCTCTGATTGTTTAGCGTGCAGTCGGGTTAGATCCTCGATTAGCTCATCGCGCAGGGTCTTAATCTCCGCTTTAGTATCTTTGCGCAAAGTTGTGATGTCCCGCTTAAGCTCCTGGATCTGTGATTCCATATCGGTCTTTATTTGGTCCCGCTGTGCTTGGAGTTCACGGCGAAGGGCTTGCAGTGTGAGCGTAGCAGTTTCGGCGGTGGCCTCTGGGTCCGAGCCCTGGTTTGTGGTCTCCGCGCCGTCCGCCATTTTAGCTTTGTCGACAGTGTAAGATGCTATCGATATTTGGGTCTGGGTCTGCTGCCTCCCTCCTTTACGAGAGCTTCGTCTCATATCACTCTGAACTCCCAGTATCTATATACTCATCTGCTTTTCTCTGCTGGGTCTATTAGTTGTCAAATGCCAAGATTATTGAAGCTTGATACGGAGCACCGCAAAAACACTGCTTACTCCATTGCCAGGTCTCGCGAGCTTGCTTTAATCAGGTATTTCTACTTAAAAATACCTTGAAAACATATGTGTTGTTGTTACTAGGAGCAAGGTCAGATCTCCACAGATCTGACCTGTAAATTGACCTGATGGTGTCACCCGCTTGTTTTCATGTTAAACAAGCGCAATCAGAGATAGCACCCTGGTCCCCCATGAGGCATCAGTTTATCACCATGGAAGCCAGTTTATGAGGAACCCAGCCCATATTACATGATCCACAATGCAATGTGTCTAGCTGTACAGTGCCCATGAAGATTTGTGTGATATTGGTCACACATGAGAATGTCTGTGTTTACTTTTTCTGAGATTTTCTGAGCCACTCCTGTTGCTCTAGCTCTGTCCTTGGTGGAGTTATGACCAAAAACGAATATTTGTCCTTGGTTACCTTGACCTTCACGTGACCTTGACCAGTTTCAACTTGACCTTAACATCCAGTGTGGGCCAACTTGTGTGATGATTGGGTGAATATTTTAGCCTGTAGATGGTTCAGAAATTGCCAAAATTTGCCTGTCCTTTATAATGCAGTGACCTTTCAATTGACCTGTGTGACCCGTGTGACCTCAAATGACCTCGGATTGTCACCAAACTTCTTTTGTGGCATCGGGGACTTGACCTACGTTCCAAATTTGGTGACAGTCGGTTCATAAGTGGCGGAATTATCGCTGGTGGACAGACACACGGTGAATACAAAACCTGGTCAACCCTTCGGGAACCAGATAGTAATGAGTTAATGCCCTATTGCAGAACATTTGATGAAGTATCTCTTTGGAGGCAAGCAAAACAGACACTGGCCCCTCCACTAGAAAAGTTACATAGTGCAACTTTAGGTAATCCACATCTGCCACTGTCCTGCATCCTACTGAAAACAGAAAAAGATCAAAACGATGTGTTGTGCAAAAGACTGGGGCAAACCTGTCATCTGAGTAATGCAGGTGCAGCTTTCTCAATCCAGAAGAGGCTGGAGACATTCAATACCAACAGACAAGAGATGATGTTGTAAACATGCACATCATTTTTCTCATTTAACACTATTTAACATTTTTCTATGGTACCAGTGTGTTTTGCTTGTCTGGATATTTGATGAAAATTTCACATCAGTAGCTCTTTTTGAAATCTTAAATGTTGTCGTGTCAGACTTGGGCTGCTGTATATTGGAAACACATGCTTATTAGATTACAGTAGGACGTGAACTGTCAGACATCTGTGGTGGTGTTAAAATGGCCGACTTGAATTCCCCTGTTGTGCAGGTCCTGATAGGTGTCCACACATGTCCACAGATGTGTCCACAGTTGTCTGGGTAAGTGTAGCAGAAGACTCCAGGAGGCCACAGATACAGTGATGAAGCTTCTGACACCAGTCCACACATGAGGCTCTTTTATAGCTCCACACTCACACTAGTCACATGAGAAACATTACAAATACACCACGACTGACTTTGAGCTGAGGTCACAAATGGAGCTGGTGCTTATAGGGCTGGACCATAGCCTCAATAAAGAAAAGGGAGGGAGTGTGACATCACAGAGCAGTCGGCTCCAGACAAATGAAGCTAATCAAGGCTAGCAGTTATAGGAGTAAATTTAGATTTTTCCATATTTGGAATACTGACCATAAGTATAACAGTGTAAGGACCAGGACCAGCCAGGACCATCAGGAGCAATGCTGTTGAAGGTAACACCCCTTCTCGTTTGCGCTGTTGTCTTAGCACATATATATTTATTTATATATTACATATGTGCCAAGACACCAGGCCATACCGGCTTGTCAAAGCTTGATCTCGTCAGATCTCAGAAGCTCAGCAGGGCCGGGACTGGTTAGTGCCACAGGGGGGCGCCAGCTGTTAAAACTGTTGTTGTTTCCTTAGGCAAGGCACTTGACCCACATTGCATAATATGAAAGTGATGCGTGTGTGAGCGATGGTGGTGGTCGGAGGAGCCAATGGCGCAGATTGGCAGCCTTGCTTCCGTCAGTCTGCCCCAGGGCAGCTGTGGCTACAATAGTAGTTTAAAACCACCGGGTGTGGAGTGAATGAATAATGCTCTGTAAAGTGTCTTTGAGTGTCCAAAAAAGTGCTATATAAAACTGATGCATTATTATTATTATCATTATTATTATTTGCTGTGGTAATCATGAAGAGAGATTCTAAAACAGTCAGGGGCCCGCCCGGTACATCCTGTGGTACATGGTCAGCACAGTGGTCACATGTCCATGTGTCTGTACTATTGTAGTACACTTTGTCTCACGCTCTTCACTGCCATGTTGACAGCTCCCCCTCTCTCTCAGGAGCAGCAGCTTATACAGACTGTGTGCACCCATGGGACCCCAGCACCCTGCCCCCTCCTCACCCCCTCCACTTCTGGGACTGCTCTGCTCTGTCTGACTGACACTCCACAAATCTATGAGAAAGTCCAGGAACCAGCAAGTGGACATCTTAGATTAGAATGGAACTATGATACTGCCACTTAGTTTTGTAGGAGGTGAGAAATAATGATTTGTGAAATCCCTCCATAATGTAGCTATATTCTGACAGCCCATTGTAACTGTAGTTGGCCTGTCACAATAAATACTTCATCGACTTATTGTTCAGTAATTGACAGATGGAACAGTATTTTTTGAGGGTCAATATTTATGGTGGGTACTTTTAGTAGTGTCAGTCTGAGCTGCAGAGGGATGAATAACTTACTTATTACAGATACAAACTAAGGACTAATGTGCTGTTTATTTATTGCAGCATTTGGTTTTTTTTTGTTTTTTTACAGTTTCTGTACATTTAGAATAGTTTGTCTCTATAGCAGGACTATACAAGTCAGTCTGTCAGTGGCATACATTTGTTTCATTAATATTGTAGTATTCAGTGTTAAAGCCTATGGGCCCAGTGCTCCATTCAAATGAAACCAGAAACTGGAGAGGTGAAGAGGAGAGCAGAATGCAGAGGAGGAGGGGGACAGAGAGCGGAGGGGGAGGAGAGAATGAGACAGGAAGAGGGAGAGAAGAGAGAAAAAGAGAAAGTGAGAAAGCGAGAGACAGAAAGAGAAAGGGAGAGAGAGAGACGCACAATTATTTCTTTGGGCTGCAGCGGGAGCACAGGCCTTTCCAGTCGGGTGAGCTCTTTGGTGAGAGCACCCATGGGAGAGCCGTGACAGCCTCACTGTTCACATCTGTTCTGCTTATGTACAACACTACTAAGACTTTAGGAGTCTGTGCAGGGATCCTTATGAGGACACCCATATCATGTGTTAATGCAGAGCCATTTGGACACAATGAGTCACATACAAATGAGTTGTGCTGCTTTGTCTTTGAAAACATGAATTGAATGCATTGCCAAAATCTACCAAATACGTTTAATTTGTATGTTTTATTTCTTTTTCTATCTTCATATATGTATTTGATCATTTTTATCAGCCAGTATGTAATGATTTAGCCAAAAGCAGACTAACATTTCTATTGCACTGAAAAACATGCATAACAAATCTGACCTCTCATTCACTGTTATATTGTTGAATATAACATTGTTAAATATTATAAACATTTTTTCTGAGTTATTTTTCCCCTTTATTGCATAATTCCTTAGAGCCTACATATATTTGGTGTCTTTTGTGTGTATAATAAATGTAGAAAGTAGTAACCATAAAGAAAAAAAAAAAATGTCATGAGAGGTGTAGTGTGATGCTGGCAATGGAAATAGAAATGGAAAGGTAAAACCATACTTCTGAAGTCACATAGGTGACATGCCACCTCCAAAAGGTGGGTTTGGTTGGGCTTGTTAAAAAAATAAAACATTGAATTACAGAGTGGGATAAGTAACTCTGCAGCTTATCTTATTTCCCTTGACACTCTGTGTTGTCATCAGAAGAGTCACGTGACAGTGGGCGAAACATGTCAAGGTGAATACACAAAAATGGTCTGTTAGAGAAAAACAACAAATAGAAATTGAAGAAAAGAGGAAAAAATTATCCGTTTTGGAATATAACTGCAGCTCTTTCCGCAGCTTTTATGATCCTAAAAATGTGTGATTGCTGAAAATGTTTAATTGTGAGTTGAATCAGATTGGAAATGTATCTGAAATATGACTGGCCTAATGTGATCTCTCACCAGAAACCTTAAACATACTTCTGTTGGTGTTTACAGCCTGTACGGACGACACATGCAAGCCAATCCTGAGCCACCAAAGAAGAACAACGACAAGAGCAAGAAGATCAGCCGCAAGCCCCTGGCTGCTAAGAACAAGTGAGACTGGAGACAGAGAGAGAGAGAGGGGGCCTGTGATGTCACTGCATGTGCCTATCTCCTACTGCAGACACACTTTATATATGCAACAGTACCAGACTGTATCCTGACCTATTGTTTTGATATGAGTTTCACTGCTTTCTTTTGTATCACTTTGCTGTCTCAGAAGTATGCCTTAAAAGAATGGAAGCTGGGTTCCTCTAAACATTGTGCTTAAAGCCATTATTGTACAGAGCAGAGGACGGGGCAGCATGGGTTTGTCATTTGCAAAAAATGTATATGAGAAGTAGGCATGGGACGATATTGAAATTTATATTACGATGGTCAAAGATATTGCAATAATTACTAAAATTACTGTTAGGAATATTAATAATTGTAATTTTACTATTTATACTATTAAAATATCCACGTTTAAAAAGGGAGTATTATGCAAACTTGACTTTTTGTAACTTTCTACCACGTTATCACCTTGTTCGCTCATCACAAACATGCCTGAAGAAGATTTTTCCTCTACATGTTTGAGTAATCTAGTGATCTGTCAACATCCGGTTTGTCAAGTTGCTGTGTACAGACTGTATCATGTTTTTGTAGAGAATTGTCATGCGGACCCTTATAAAGACTCTTTCAGCTATAAGGAGGGTTCGAATAGGGCCTGGGAGAGATCGCTAAATTAAATGCAAGGATGACATCTAAAAACTCCATAAAATGGTAGAATGCTCAAAGTCGACTATGCATAATACCTTCTCTCTAATCAACTTTTACAGCATTGTACTTTGTTGTGAGAACAGTAGTGATCTGTTCATTTTTTAACAAATCTAGTGGTAAAATTCAGAATTTTGGTGATTGCCATGATTATACAACATTTCCCTCGATTGATTACTATCTACCCTTTTTATCGCTATAAACAATATTACTTATTGTCCTGTCCCTACTGACCAGACCAGAATATGTATATGGAATAGCAAAATTGCTTAAATACCAAAGTGGTATTTAAGAGGTACATAGTCATCATAGTCATTTACTATGCTAGTGTGAAAACCAAGCTGAACACTGCTCCTGTTTTTACCAAGAGATATTTTATATTTCAGTTCAGTTTTGTAACTGTTGAATTCACATGATTTTTCTATACACTCCTTTTTTATTTCACTAATTTTTACATTTCTGGGACAGAATATTTTTGCTAAAGCTGTTGTGTTTTGTTCTTACTGTAGTTTATGTAATTTAATCTCTAACATGCAATACTAGACTGTTTTATTTAACTCCTCTTTTAACTGAAGTGTACAGTACCAAAGAGTGGTCATGCATTGACAATGGAAAACACACCCTTTACCAGCCAATAACCGAGAGAAGAATGTAAACCTATATTTTGTCTACTGAGGTGTCAGTTTAGTTAGATTTAAAAACACTAAATGATTATGGTCCCCAGAATAATGTGCACATTATGCAAGAGCATTAAAAGGCCTGTACCTGATTTTAAACCAGGGGTTTTAGTAGTACAAGATATTGAGTCAATATAAGAGGGCAAGCTTTAGATGTTGTACAGTTAGATACCTATAAAATGCAGAACACCATTTATTAATGCACAAAACTCAAAATAACTTATATATGATGGCAATTAATCAAATTTGAGTTATTCAGTACAATACGTATATTTCAGAAATCCCTCTGTAGGGGTGGAGAGTTTCTGGTAGCTTCCGATCTACAGGTAGGAGACCCTTGTTTTAAACCATGAGTGAAAACATTTTTTAGTTTTAATATTTAGCCCTGTCCACTCAGTCGTGATACAAGAATGGTGTTTGGGATGGTGCCAGGCAGTTGTTTCTTGGTATTGCTCTATTTCTGCTACTATTTGTGTGTTAGTCACTTGAAAATGTACCATGACAGAGAAAAAATGTCAGGGGTGGAGTGAGGTAATTGGTTTCCCATGATTCATGCTAACAATGTTACACTGTCTGTAGCTTATGAATTTGTTGTTATGTGAGAAAATGCTACATCAAATGTAAAGATTATACTTTGCATCTTGACCAGAATACAGTAAAACCAGGTACAGGCCCTTTAAATATGGTCATGTAATTTCAGTTGTTCATTTTGCTGGCTAGTACTTTTTTTTCCATTCGTCATTTGATTTGGTTCTATACTGTGTTTGATCATAATTCCTAAATTCTGTCATTTTTAAGCGCCTTTTCCCATTTTTGCATTAGAGAGAACAACTGTTATTAACTGTTGTTACTGCAGACTGAATCGTGTGCAGTGTTGAAGCTGGACTTTTAAACAGTGTGTAACTTGTGTAAGATGAGTTGTATTATTATAGTGTACTGTAAAACTGTACCAGTCACCATGCCTTTGTTTTATGTGCCAACATGTATTTACCTTTATATTACAGTGTTATTTCTCTGGGTCAACATTTCAAGTCAATGTTATAAAGACGTTAAAATATGGTTTGTGAGTGTGTTTTTAATTAAATGGTCTATGCAGATAAGACATTTTTAAAATTTTGAACCAAACACTATTCTATATGTATAGGCCTATAGGCTTTACATGAATTAGACTCGAAACGCCCATGTTGCAGTAAATTAAACAATCTAATTATTCACTGATAATGTTATCATATTCATTTGAGTGCTTAAAGGAACTGTATGCAAGACTTTAATTTTAAATTTCATAATAATGACTGCAGGTTAAGACACCTTAAGCCTGGGTTCAGTTGGGATTGTGGTACTTTGTGTGTTGTGTGGTTGTGTCAGCACTGTGTGTGGTCGTGTCAGTACTGCATGTGTTTGTGTCAGTGTTGTGTGTGGTCGTGTCAATGTTGTGTATATTTGTGTCAGTGCTGCGTGTGATCGTGTCAGCGTTGTGTGTGGTCATGTCAACGTTGTGTGTGGTCGTGTCAACGTTGTGTGTGGTCGTGTCAGCACTGTGTGGTCGTGTCAGCGTTGTGTGTTTATGTCAGTGCTCTGTGTGGTCGTGTCAGCGTTGTGTGTGTTGTGTCAGTGCTGTGTGTGGTCGTGTCAGCGTTGTGTGTGATCGTGTCAGCGTTGTGTGTGGTCATGTCAACGTTGTGTGTGGTCGTGTCAGCGTTGTGTGTTTGTGTCAGTGCTGTGTGTGGTCGTGTCAGCGTTGTGTGTGGTCGTGTCAGCGTTGTGTGGTTGTGTCAGTGCTGTGTGTGGTCATGTCAGCGTTGTGTGTGTTGTGTCAGTGCTGTGTGTGGTCGTGTCAGCGTTGTGTGTGGTCGTGTCAGCGTTGTGTGTGGTCGTGTCAGTGTTGTGTGTGGTTGTGTCAGTGTTGTGTGTGGTCGTGTCAGCGTTGTGTGTTTGTGTCAATGTTGTCTGTGGTCCTGTCAGTGTTGTGTCTGTTTGTGTCAGTGTTGTGTATGTTTGTGTCAGTACTGCGTGTGTTTGTGTCAATGTTGTGTATGTTTGTGTCAGTGTTGTGTGTTTGTGTCAGTGCTGTGTGTGGTTGTGTCAGTGTTGTGTGTGGTCGTGTCAGTGCTGTCTGTGGTCGTGTCAGTATTGTGTGTTTGTGTCAGTGTTGTGTGTGGTCGTGTCAGTGTTGTGTGTGTTTGTGTCAGTGCCGTGTGTGGTTGTGTCAGTGCTGTGTGTGGTCGTGTCAGTGTTGTGTATGTTTGTGTCAGTACTGCGTGTGTTTGTGTCAGTGTTGTGTGTTTGTGTCAGTGCTGTGTGTGGTCGTGTAAGTGTTGTGTGTGGTTGTGTCAGTGTTGTGTATGTTTGTGTCAGTGTTGTGTATGTTTATGTCAGTGTTGTGTACGTTTGTGTCAGTGCTGTGTGTGGTCGTGTCAGTGTTGTGTGTTTGTGTCAGTACTGTGTGGTCGTGTCAGTGTTGTGTGTTGTTGTCAGTGCTGTGTGGTCGTGTCAGTGCTGTGTGTGGTCGTGTCAGTGTTGTGTGTTTGTGTCAGTGCTGTGTGGTCGTGTCAGTGCTGTGTGTGGTCGTGTCAGTGTTGTGTGTTTGTGTCAGTGTTGTGTATGTTTGTGTCAGTACTGTGTGTGGTCGTGTCAGTGTTGTGTGTTTGTGTCAGTGCTGTGTGGTCGTGTCAGTGTTGTGTGTTTGTGTCAGTGCTGTGTGGTCGTGTCAGTGCTGTGTGTGGTCGTGTCAGTGTTGTGTGTTTGTGTCAGTGCTGTGTATGTTTGTGTCAGTACTGTGTGTGGTTGTGTCAGTGTTGTGTGTTTGTGTCAGTGTTGTGTATGTTTGTGTCAGTGTTGTGTGTGGTCATGTCAGTGCTTACGGTTAAGTGGCACAGTGAGATCCTCGCTCTCATACAATGAGGGCGGCCCTCTCACGCCCGCCTATAAATCACGATACTGCGATCAATGCCGCGCACCAACCTGGGACCCATTGTGTCCTTGGAAGCCCAGAGATGAATGGAGATGAAACACCAGGGAAAAGACGACATGGAGGAAGTAGGACACAACAAGTGAAAGTGGGGATGCGCATGCATGGATTTAAGTGGAGACGAAATAATCCAACAATATGAGTTTGTGTAATGAGATGTTAAGAGGGAGGCTTTGTACTTGTTTTATTCAAATTCTATACACTCATGCTGATTATTTGAGTTTCACAAATCATCTCCTAATGACAACTCAAACCCTAGGACCCATACTATTGTTTTTAACCTAAAAACATTTCAAAAGAGAAATAATAAGAAAATACCCAGAGGAGAGACTGAATGAGGTGCAGGGTCAAACAGTGCGGGGCCAAGGTGGTGGAGTGAATGTTTGTCTGTCTCGTCTTGTCTTGTATCACACAGTAGTGGATTGAACTGGTGAAGTGTTGTTTTGTGATGAGTGGGAGGGAATTGGAAATGTATGCACTTTGGGCCCATGTACCATTTGTTCTTTTGAATTTCAATTATGAAGGATAAACATATGGGAAAGTAATTTGTTATTTCATTATTCCAATTTAGTGTCAAAAAAATAAATACAAATTTTCAACCTCTATTTCCAATATTTAATTTAAAGTTTATTTCAAATCAACACACACACACACACACACACAAACAGTCATTGTGCCTATTTCAATTTTAATATTTTATTCTGTCTGTGTTATTTGCCCCGGAAGTTCTGCTGCTAGAAAAAATTTACCTGAGAAATCGTTGCAGTTTTGTGGACAAACGTCCTCGTCTTTTACAGTGATGTATTTACTTTCGTGTCGTAGAAAGTCATTGACTTGGAAGCAGCGACAAACTCTCCTTTGTTCAGATGGCTCCATAGAACTATAATAAAAATAGTTTTTATTATAGATCCATGTTTGACACTGAATTCACTCCCAGCACTGAGCAGCAGAACTTCTGGGGCAAATAAACCAGAGAGAATAAAATATCAAAATTGAAATAGGTTTTCTGATCGGTGTTTATTTGAAATAAACTTTAAATTAAATATTGTAAATAGAGGTTGAAATAGTTTTTTTTTTTGTTTGTTTGTTTGACCCCAAAACGGAATAATGAAATAACAAACTGTTTTCTCATTTTATTGTTTTCCCTTCTTAATTGAAATTTAAATGAACGAATGGTACACGGGTCTGCGTACCATTGCTACCATTTATTTTGTGAAAAAAACAAAAAAACAAAAAAAAAAACAATCACATATATCCCCGCTGTGTGAGAATTCAGTGTCAACAGACTCCATTCACACTTAGCCTACGTCACAAACCATGTTTTATTTTTTTTACACAAAAACGGAATAATGAAATAAACTGTTTTCACCTTTTCATTGTTTTTTGTTCTTAATTGAAATTCAAGAGAAAGAATGGTACGTGGACTGCTTTGCTTCATCCATCCCCTTTTCAGCCCATGTGTATTTGTGTCTGTACTGTTTCATTGTTATGTGAATGACAAGTGCAATCTTAAAATAAATATTCTTACTAAAAGTGCTCTTGCCACCAGAAAGCATAAGGACATATTTAGGCTATATAGGCTTGGTCATTCTTGAGTCAGGACAAAATTAGAAGAAAAAAAATGTGGTTTAACATCAACAAACAAAATATATAGCACCTTTCATAGACACCAGACACTGTACAGAGCATTCTTCATTCACTCCAAACCATTAGGTTTCAGATGATGTCACAGCATTCTATAGGCCAGTGTTTAATACATATAAGAAATATTGTTCAACTGCAGATTTTTTGTTGCAGTTTGACATGGTCTTGGGTCTAGTCAATAACAGAAATGATCAGGTTCCACATTTGGGAATTTACCTTTCCGAAATTTCATGGTAAAGTACAATATAATTAATAGGAAAAACTGACTCTTGCCCCCATCTGGGAGTTTGACATTACCACATTCTAGAACCTGAAAATCGCACAGAAAGTTCACCTGAGGCTCTTCCGTCTCCTTCTGACCCTATCCCTGTTGAGATAATGACCCTCTCTCTGTCACTGCTGCTGCTTAAAATGCTCGTATTAACCTGCTCTACATTATCCTGGTGTTTTTTTTTTCTTTCTTTGCTATTTTGTCTGTTTAATACAGACTCTGGCTCCAAATTGATCCCTATAACCGTGCGCACCGTGAGCTTCATTTAAGTGGAGCTGAACGCTGTGGGTGACGTCACACTCGCTTAGTCCACTTTTTTATACAGTTTATGATTCACACTCACTGGTAGTAAACTATTATTGAAGCTACAGCTGCCCTGGGACAGACTGACAGAAGCCAGGCTGCCACTCTGCACCATCAGCCCCTCCCACCACCATCACTGCTGCCCCACACAGTGTTGTGCATGTACGAGTTCAAAAGAACGCGTTTACTGAACACGTTCATTTTTCTGTGAACTTTGAACTGAACGCAACACATTTGCAAATCAAGAACTTGAACGTGAATTTGTTCAAATTATGTGAGATGAACGACGTGCGTCACTGTTGGGGTTCAGTTAAACGTCTGAATTTGTTTTCACCGAGTGACGATCTGCTCGCACTTAACCTCGAAACCATCACCACCGACAGCTCTTGCGGAACATTCAGTTTGTCAATGGAAAAGCCGATCAAACTTGACAGGGCGCGTTTAGCTGCTTGTATTTACCTTCTGTACAGGTTGACCACTGCAAACGCAAGGATTTCAAAAGTAAATTTCAAAGCACTAATTAACAATCTTTGTGGAGCTGGGCTCTTTCACACGATACAAAACTGCCCCAGGAGCACGATGTGCTGATGGTAAACGCACAAATACAACAATAGATCGATGCTCTCTGTGTATTTTGACGGGGATATGCGCCTATGTTCGCGTAGAGCGTCAAAAAAAAAAAAAAAAAAAAAAAAAAAAAAGGATGGATCCTGTTTTCCGAAATCTAGGGCAGGACGCGCTGCTCCACGCGCATCTAGCGCGTGCAGTGGAGCCGCCCTCATTCACTTTCCATGCATGCTTCAAATTAGGCGTCCAAAAGTTGCAGTGACATCCCTCTGTCACAGAAAGAACACATATATCGTGTCCTTTCGT